TTATATTTCAGTTTCGGTTGATAACCTATTAAGTTGACGGAGTTGAACAACTTGGTAAGACAATAACTTGACCCCTCTTTAGCAGACCAAATAACACAACATCCAATTAGCTATTAACTCAGTATCAGCCGAAGGTGGTGTATTACAGAAATTGTGTCCCCTGGTAAACTAAATATGTTTTGTTTTAATTTGAAGGTAGTTCTTTGAGAAAAAATTGAAGTAGAATACATAGTGGAATCTTGATTTTTTTTTTTTTCTTTTTTTTTTATGCAGAAATCCACTGGTTCACACATTCAGACAGAGTCAAAGGAGCATATGAAAGGTTTTTATGTCATCTTTTGGTGGATGTGGATGCACTAAGAAAAGGAGCTCATGGGACAGGGTAAGCATGATATTGTGATGGATGTAGGCACTACTTCGAAACTTGAGTGTTGAGTGTTATATGGTAGCTATGTAGACCTCGTGCACAAAGTGCTTCTAATACGGAAACCAGAAATGGGTGAACAAGAGCAACTAGCATTTTGAGTCTAGGGGATGCTAATTAATATAACTGCTGCTGAAATACAAAAGTATTATCACGTTCACACAACAAATTAAGCCTTTTTAAAATAAACAGATTAAACTTTATTTTTTGATTTTTTTAAGAAAAAAGAAAAGAAATCAAACTTTTGAACATGCTAGAATGCCAAACTTTTAGAACAGCATCTTTTGTTTAATGGGTCCAAGTTCATGCAGTTCTTTATCTCTTTATGTCTTCATTCCGAATTTCCGATGATGAAGGATTGTGTGTATTGATTCCCGATTGAACTCTGATTTGGAATTATATGATTAGGTATAGGACATAGGTTTCTATTTGACCTCAAGTCAAAGTCTCCGGTTGTCAGGCAGTGTACTAGTGTTGAAGGTTTTCTAGTCATCCTAGAATCCGAATGAAAGACTGCAATAGTGACTGTTGAAGCTGGAACAGCACTAAGTTGATGATTTTGAGGGCAAACGTTAATTTTGGCAGTAAGTTTAGAAATTAAACTCCCAGACCTGTTTCTTGCACTTTGGTAATGCTTATTATTTACATTACTCGGGAAGCAACAGTGGGACTTGGTATGAAATTTGAATTCATGGCCAGAAAATGGAAACTGTTAGCTGATGAATTTGGATTGAGACTAACACCACACCTAGTCCAATAATAGGCAATTGCACTAAACAATGCAAGGATTGGTAGGTACAGAGAAGATTAAGGGTGAAAAGAATGATTTCTGCAGGGAGTTGGGAGCTTTATGCAGGCCTATTAAGGGGCATGTAGGCAGGGGGAACAAAGAGTGAGTTGGGACAGACAGAGGAGTTATGGATAAGTGCCATTCGTGCTAGTGCCTTTGCCGTGTCGTGGGGATGGCAATTTTGGCCGTGACTTTCCTGAAGGGACGACAGCAAACCCCTAGACCTACCTCTCTCCTTACCTTCTTTCTCCTCCCCCCTAACCAAAAACAGCCCAGCTTGCACAAGGAGGCTTGCACCACAAGTGTGTGGCTGAGAAGTGGAAGGTAGAACTAATGCACATAACCAACACCACATCTCAACTACAAACCATTTCCCTACCTTCCTCTTGCCTGACTTCATGCTTTCTAGAACTAGTGCCTACCATTTAACTACCAAAAAGTTATGATGCTAGCGCGTCGTTCAGTGATTGCACTCCTTTTACTAGTCAGATGGTGATTAAGGTACAACCGAAGTGGTTTACTAGCTATAGCTAAGTGCACCAAACAAAAGAGGGGCTATTAAAAGTGTATCAAATCAGACGGTAACAAACTGACAGGACTTAAGCTCGATTGGTAGCTCACTAGCTTGTTGTTGCTTAGAAATAACAATTAAGATTACGTGCATGTTTGGTTTTCGCCACAAATTGCCATTATATGCCACAAAAAATCGCCACACTTACCTAAGGTTAGGCGCTCAAAATATTTGTCACATCTTAATCAGCCTAAGAGAAGCTTGTTACACTTTTTTGACTCATTGACGTATGGGGTCTAATTTAATGGAAGTGAATCTTGCCACACTTTGTGGTGGCAACCAAAGTATAATCACACAAAATGGGGCTAAAGGCATCGCCCCTCAACCCAAGAACATCGACACGGACCCAGGTACATGAGGTCATTTTTTACCTCGCAGTGTTAAAACCTGTACCACTTTCCCCGACTCCGTCGACCCACGAACTTTGTGACTACGAGTCAAACTTGCCTAACCGTAAACGTGGCAAGTTGTGGACAATCAAACACTCTTTACTCCCTCTATTTTCTTCTTGTCCACAGACACAGATCAAGGCAACACTAGTTGCAGGAAAAAATAAATGTAAAATGACCATCAATACCCTTATTAAATTTGAGAATATAGTCACTTGTCTTTTACCAGAGCATTTAATCAGGGTAAGGAGTGGAAATGCTAGAATAACTTACCATTGACATTCTCAGTGGACAAGTATTGTAAAACATTTTTTCCCAGGGTCATGCACAAATATTGGAGAACGGAGTGGTAAAGCAGTTTGATGTCTAACACTCTCGCTCGCGATTGTTGGATTGCTTGGTTTTGAAATACACCTCTTGTCGTATATGTTGCGTTTCCTTGTACTGCCAAAAGTTATAAACTGTTCGTCTATCTGTTTTCTTTTTTGAAACGCACTGTTCATCTATGTGTTATGAAATGCTCAGTTCTTCATTGTATTTTTTTTACCTGAATACAACCATATCCTTATGTCTCAAATCAGCTAGAAATCTAGGTATAAAATCAAGTTATCCTTCCCATCCACAAAAAAAGAACAAAATTTGGAGTTACGAGTAGATCTGGAGCTATGATCACTCAATGACAACAGGAAAGAAATAAGGGAGACACCAGAAACATAAACAGTGCATATGGAGGACCATTGTGGAGTGTGGAGTCCCAATCATTCTGGCCCCAACCAAAACTAATGGGGTTTGGGATATTTCCTCTCCTGCACCCAACCAACTATGGTCCATAGTTTGGTAACCATCCCGAAACGAATATATTAGGTAGGCAGATAGTACAATGTAACCCCAGCTGGGTTTTGTCACGGATATGTAAGTTTCTCCTAACAAGTAACAACACCAGCTGGGTTTTTAATGGTCCACCTCGCAGAGTTATAATTTCATCTGCTTCCCATTTTCCACACAATCGGCTGCTTTCAGCAGTGCAGAATATATCCTATTTTTTTGGTAGAAAATTATAAGCCTGGATAAATTCGGTATTTGTATTAATAGTCAAACTGATTGTAATTTTTCGTCTAGCTAATGAAGCTCGCTTTTACCCCGCAAAAAAAGAGAGCAATACTGCAATAGAATGCACATGTTTAAGGAGTGAAGGACCTGATCATAGTAGGTGTATTATTAAGGATCACATAATGTTCAATTATTATCGCCATGTTGATTGGCCCTATATAAATACGATATCCATACGATCTGCCTTGCTACGAAAAGATAAGCGATACAGATGCTGGAGCTGTAGCAATGTGTTTGGTGAATTTTTAATTTATGGTTGACCAAACAGATGAGGTAACCTACTATATGAGAGTACTAATATTAAACAAATGCTCCACATGGAAGTAGGTTGATCAGAACGTGACAATATCTATGATTCTGGAAACAACATTCATTTAAGGGGTGCCAGATGCGAATTCCGAATCACTCTATTTTATTCAGGAATAATTTAATAAATAAACAAGCAAGGAAGTCCATGATTAGGGTTCCCTTAGTTTAGGACCCTGTCCTGTGTTTTTTTTGGTGCAGGTATCAGCATATGGGTTTGAAGGGCGGCCCAGTGCAGCAGATGAGTCTTTATCGCGCATGTGACCTGAAAGGTTCCTGGTTCGAGTCATGGTCTCCTCGCATTGCACAAAGCGAGGTAAAACACACACGACACCCTTCCCTGGGATCTCCAGAGACAGAGCGGGAGCTCTCTCTGACCTGTCATGACGCCTTTTTTTATCAAAGATATGGGTTTGTGGCTACACCAAAAACATTAGCCTTGTTGTTAAACAAAGAGGGTGAGGGTGGCAAGAAGAGTAGAGCTGGTGAGATCAGTCTGTTTTTTTTAAAAAACAAAAAAGTACATGAATGACGACCCGTATACAACTACTACTATGTTTTAGTGTACATTTTTTGAACGTAATGTCTTAGTGTACATCAGAAATCGTTTTCATGTCTACATAGTAGTGCCCGAGGATGAAAACTACCTTCATGCACCTGCTGATCTGACCAAACTTCACACTCTCTTGCGTGGTGTAATTCTCATGTTTACCTCCTGTGCAGGGCACCTGTGTTTCACGGGGTGTGGTGGGGTGCGGGTGGAGGGCCTGGCAAATCGGCATCAGCGACAGGAAAAGGGAGATGAACCTAATCCATCCATCACCGTAACCAAAATCAGGAACAGGTTTGCGTCAGGGGCGGTGGCGGTGCGGTTAGTTAGCTGTTAAACCCAGCGTGGTGGTGGTGGTGGAGAGAGGTAGGCATCCATCGGCACCCACACCCACACACGGTTGGCGCGCGCGCGCGTCGCTTACCTCACTTTACACCTACCTGCCGGAGGTTCCGTTCCACGGACCACGGCGGTGGCGCTGTGTCCGCCCCCGTGGCCTTGTGCTTTGCTTTGTGAAACTGGTAGTAAACCAGTGGCAGTGATGAGAGCAGAGAGCGGAGGGCCGGAGGCCTACCGCTGCCGGCCGGCGGCCTAACCTTTTCGCCACCAACTCAGCCTGGCCTCTAGAAGACCTCCCGCGATCCAGTCAAGTGCCTATAAAATCCAGCCCCGCCTCACCTTCACCCACCCTTGGGCCTTGGCTCGCAGCAGCAACAACCTCCACTGCCGCCCGCCCGCAACCCACCCGAGAGGCGAGGGGGCGGAAGAAAGCGGCGGCAAAAGGACCAGGAAAGCAGCAGCCAAGGTAGCATCGGTGGTTCGGTTTATTTGGTTCGGTGGCCGCCCGTACCACCTCCATCATGGGGAGGTCGCCGTGCTGCGAGAAGGCGCACACCAACAAGGGCGCGTGGACCAAGGAGGAGGACGACCGCCTCGTGGCGTACATCAAGGCGCACGGCGAGGGGTGCTGGCGCTCGCTGCCCAAGGCCGCCGGCCTGCTGCGTTGCGGCAAGAGCTGCCGCCTCCGGTGGATCAACTACCTCCGGCCCGACCTCAAGCGCGGCAACTTCACGGAAGAGGAGGACGAGCTCATCATCAAGCTCCACAGCCTCCTCGGCAACAAGTAAGACCGCCGCCCGCCCTCCCTCTCCGATACAATACCTCGCCGTCGTCGCCTGCAACATTTACACCATTCATTTGCTAAACTGTGTGTCTGTTCGGTCTGGTACAGATGGTCCCTGATCGCTGGAAGGCTGCCGGGCAGGACGGACAACGAGATCAAGAACTACTGGAACACGCACATCCGGAGGAAGCTGCTGAGCAGGGGGATCGACCCGGTGACCCACCGCCCCATCAACGAGCACACGTCCAACATAACCATATCGTTCGAGGCGGCGGCGGCGGCCGCCAACCGTGACCGTGAGGAGAATAAGGGCGCCATCTTCCGGCTGGAGGAGCACAACAAGGCGGCGGCGATCGGCCGCCATCATCAGAACCACCCCGCCGGCGACTGGGGCCAGGGGAAGCCGCTCAAGTGCCCCGACCTCAACCTGGACCTCTGCATCAGCCCGCCGGCGCCGTGCCAGGAGGAGGCCGCCATGGTGATGATGAAGCCGGTGAAGCGGGAGGCCGGGCTCTGCTTCAGCTGCAGCCTGGGGCTCCCCAAGAGCGCCGACTGCAAGTGCAGCAACTTCCTCGGGCTCAGGACCGCCATGCTCGACTTCAGAAGCCTCGAGATGAAATGAACGCTTCTCTCTCTCCCTCTGTAACTCCCCCCTCTTCGTTTTGTTTTGTCACCGCACCTGGTGGATGATATTTGGTTAGTTTCTTAGGTGAAAATACGTAGTAGTGAGAGTGAAAGAGAGAAGGAAAAAGTGAGGATTTGTGCCCTGGGTCTTCTCTGCTGCTCTCTCTTGTTGCTCCATTTTGTCTCCTCTTTCTTTCTCTGTAATTACCATCACCAACTGATCATGGTTCATGGGCAATAATACTTGCTGCTTACGGTCTCTGAAAATTGGCAATCCCGTTTCCAGGAGGCAACGTGTGGCCGTGTGGTCTCAGGAACAACAAACGCTGGACCATGTGCTGAGGCCTAAGCCAGATCTTACGTTTACCAAACCACTACACCAGCATGTGACCATCGCCTAACCATGTAGTCCCGATAAAGCGCCTCGTGAGTTAGACTACGCTTTTCCAATCTGACCTGCCTTTTTTTTTTTTGCATTACACACACGACGCACAGCACAAAAGGATAGGTCGTCATAGGTGTGTGCCTCTTTCTACCGGTATGCACCACTGTGGCACTGTCACTGTGGTATTAGAGTCGCCGTCGAAGAGAAAAGGCGGCGACGCCAGCTTCGTCTTTCCGTGCTGCTGCTGCTGCTTATCCTCACCGATAAAAAGGTGCTTACATACCACTGCTGTTAATGGAGGAGTAACCAAGCGTAGAAGGCAGGCAGGCCGTGAGGTCATGTAAAGGGCACGACCACCATTTGTTTCTCAGTTTATGGCGCTTGTTAGGTAAGAGGAGCAATATATGCCGCACCTTTCCGGAGCCCGCCCGCCCGTCGGCCGTCGCGTCCCCCGGCGATGCGATGGGGGCGCGCGGATGGCGGCGGGCGGCAGCCGGCATGCACGGCCCTGCTGTGGGCTGTTGTTGCGGCCTGCGGAAACGGCAGCGGGTTTTGGATGGATCCCTCGGCTCGACGTCATGATTCATGAATGCCATCGGCGGCGCGCGGACGTTGGCAGCGGTGGCTCGATTGGGTTGGGTTGGGTGCCGGGAACGATCGAGCCGGGCATGGACCGTGTGTTCGACTTCGACCTGCTGTTTCGCCATTCTCGCGAGAGATTGCGGCGGTGGGCGACGCGACTCCGCCGGCTGTGGTTGCTTCTGCCCGGAGCGGGTGTAGCGTCAGGCGGCAAAAGCGTCGTCCGTGACTTGTACTGCGTATAACACAGCATCATCTGACGTAGGACGGTAGGAGTATTAGGCTGCGTTTAGTTCGCGAAATTTAAGAATTTGTCTACCGTAGCACTTTCATTTTTTATCTGGCGATTAGTGTTCAATTATGGACTAATTAGACTTAAAATGTTCGTCTCGTGATTTCCAACTAAACTGTATAATTAGTTTTTTTCGTCTACATTTAATGCTCCATGCACGTATCGTAAGATTCGATATGATGGCTACTGTAGCACTTTTTTAGAAAAGTTTTTGGAACTAAACACAGCCTTACTGGTTCCAAAAACACAGGAAATTGCAGCCATGCTTGGAAAACTTTGGTCGTCGCTGCCGCCGGCGGCGGCGGCGGCCATAATAAATGATAAAACAAGGTTCTGCTGATATTGATAAAAAAAAACTTAGTGCTAGCTTAATTACTGGCCTGCTACGATCTAATCTCATGTATATTATCTGTTAACGTACGATTCATTGGATTGCTACACAGAAACAAAGAATGGCCACGCATATATATGCTGAGGTCAATGCTTGTTAAAGGGGCTTTTACATTTTTACCATTATTAAGATTGGCACTCATCCGATTATCACTCTTAGAATGATACTTACAACTTTACCAGATGAGAGAAGTTTGAGTTCTTCATTTACCACATTTGCGCATGTGGCAAACCACGCCAGCCCGACACGCTGGCGTCCAGTCAACATGGGTACGCAAAATGTCCTTGCTGCCTTTGACATGCTTCTCTCTCTACATCTCTGACAGCGGGGTCCTACAGCTCCCTCTCACTGTCAGGTGGGCCCCACTCGTCAGCTTCGCCTTCCACCTCCAGCATACGCACACATCTCCCTAATCTCCTCATGTTCGTCAAGGTGCTACACACTGCCTGCTCCACGGCCTTCACTGGTGCTTGAGAAGCCAACCTCACGCATGATGCGGCTAACGTTGGGATCATCGAGGATGGAGACAACGAGCTGCTCGAGCTCGATCTTGACGGCGAGCTCAGCCCGGGCGTAGGCGAGCTCGACTGGCGGCGGCGCTGGTGGCCCTAGCGGCCTTGGCCGAGGGTGAGGTCGGCGCTGGCAGCGCGGCTAGCCTTGGCCGCAGGCGAGCTCGGCCCCAGCAGCGCGGCTGGCCATGGACGCGGGCGAGCCCGGCCACGGTGGCACGGGCGGCCATGGCCGCGGGCGAGCTCGTCCACCTCCGCGCCCTGCTAGTACTACTTGTGGTTGTTGTCCCTGCAGCGCTTCCACGACGCCACCACCGCGAACCAACGCTGCTTCATGTTCCTTCGCCGTGGACGGTGCTCGTCTGGGAGAGGCGCGTGCGTGCTCGTCGACGGGAGCTTGCCGCGGCCGGCTGCCCAGTGCCGCCATGCTCTCTCGCGGCCAACGACCGCGGAGCTCACTGCGCTCGCCATGGCCGCCCAGCCCCACCCAGCTCGCACGTGGCGCGGCGCTGTAGACAAACCTGTGGCACCGCTCTTCCTTCCCAAATGGCGGCGGAGCCACGTGTGCAGGGGAAGTTCTGGCCTATAGTCATGCTCAGGATAGATACGTAGCAAAATATCCTACGACCAAAAACGGATTTGATTCGTTTCCGAGCTTCTTCGTGTGCTCCCATCCAGGTGCTGGAGGTGGAAGACAAAGCTGACGAGTGGGGTCCACCTGGCAGTGAGAGGGAGCTGCAGGACCCGGCTGTCAGAGATGGAGAGAGAGGAGCAGGTCGGGGTAGCAAGGACATTTCGCGTGCCCATACTGACTGGACGCCAGCGTGTCGGACTGGTGTGGCTTGCCACATGCGCAAATATGGTAAATGAAGAACTCAAACTTCTCTCATCTGGTAAAGTTGTAAGTGCCAAGTGATAATCGGATGAACATCAATCTTAATAATGGTAAAAATGTAAAAGCCCCTTGTTAAAAAGATCATTATCGCTTTGTTTAGCATCAGGGTTTGGAAGCGTGTACGATGGTCCAAACCCTGACCTATGACGATCCCCGTACATGGACGACGGCTAAAATTTTCTTTTTTTTTCTCACGAGGGATAACCATGGTAAAACATCTAGTAGTGTCACCATGCTGTTTAGTTACCGCGCAGTTTAGTTTACTTGCTCCCAACCACACACTGCTGTACTGTAAAGCGACACTTTTTTTTTTGTCAGGTTCTCAGTGTGAGTTTCCACTCGATCGCGCACGTCACAGCTAGCCCAAACTGATAAACAAAAATATCGAGCTACAGTGCCTTGGTAAAAAAAGATCGTTGGAGGTTTTGATTATATCTCCCCCGTCTTATCTTTCGTCGCTAGCATTTAATCGCTATCACTTCCCACCGAAAGCAAACCGCCAATTCCTGCCCAACATAGCATTGCGCTAGGTTTTATACGGTTAATGTGGCCGCGGTCATGTTCGTTTTCGTTCTCTTGCAGCTGCTACCTGCCAAACGAGATCGATTAATAAACAACATAAATCTTACTGTCGATAACATTCAGACTATTTCTTTCTTTTCTTTTTCACTTTTTTGCAAATGGCTAAAAGATGCAAACATGAAAATCTTACTGAGAGAAAACCGGAAACATTACTACGGACAGGCATAGGTGCGCAACGATTGGCTGATTCAGATACTAGTACCCTTTCATGCAAGTGCCAACACTGTCAGAGGTCAGAACGACACGCTTTATTTCACGGGCAGGGTGGGCAGCATCAGCTGCAGTTGGCACACGGCCACGCACAGGTGTGCGAGCACATCAAGGTCATGGCGCTGTGGACGTACTACGGGGAGATCGGCATCGGCCGGGTTGAATGCACGGACGTGATAGCTACTAGTAGCGCGGAGCAATGGCGGCAGGGTTAGGTGACCAATCCCGAATTATTAACTGCCGACATGGATGCATCCCCTTTACTACCGAATTTTTTTTATTTTTAGCCCTTTTTAAAAAACACAAAAATACTTCAGGAGGTAAGATTTCAAAATCTGGACCCTTAGCTTGGCGCCAGCGTTGGCGCCGAGTTCTTGGGCTCGACGCAGACGTGACGGTGACATGGCAGGCGGCTCGGCGCCGAGCTCGGCGCCATAGATCCTGGCGCCGTAGATCCTGGCGTCGAGGTGGTGTTTTAATCCCGCCCCAACCTTTCTGCCCGAGCCTTCTTCTTCTTCTTTCTTCTCCCTCTCGGGTTTTCTCTTTCCCCACTTCGCCCTACCTCACGAATCGGCATATTGGACCTTGCAAACTTTGATTTGATTCATAGATATTCGAGAGCAAAGTATCCTCGCTCCCCTCCTAATTTTTTTTCGCATTGATTCGGTATATATTAGTAGAATTTTTTAACCTAAGAATCGTCATTACTTAGGGTTTCATACAATTTTTAATATTTATATTATACAACCATAGAATGACAAGGCGTGGAAAAGCTAGCAAACCAAGGTAACCTCAGCGCATGTTGTTATGTTATGGGTTCATTGTTGTGCATCAAATGGAAAACCCTAGGTTTAGGGTTTAATGTTAATTGTTTTCGGTTCTTAGAACGAAAATGGCTAAATTATAGTTATGGCTAGATGGCCGAAAATGCCTTTGACCCATTGCCTCTGCCTAGTGGTGTTTCAGTCCCCATGTGCTTTTACGATGATCCTTGCAAGGTAGCCAAGTTCGATGAAGATGACACGTATAGACAGAGGTATTGGATGTGTTCCAATTTTACGTTTGAGCCTACACTTCGTCAGCGCCACGTTAACAAGATTGTGAGGAATTGATGTTAGTGTCATATGACATCTTGCATGATTTTTTTGTTTGGTA